TCTGCAGCCCCAGTACCTTTCATAGGCCTTCAACAAGGTCTGCAGCCTGGGGTTTTACCAGGCTGGAGCTACCCAGCTCCCTTGCCCTATTCCCCAGCACTGCTCCAGTTCAGGTACCTTCCTCTCAGGCAGCTAGCCCTTCCCACTCCAGGGCTACAGTCAGACTCCTCCCAGCTCCCGGCCCCCAGCCCTCTTATCAGCCTAGCTTGGCTGCTTTTAACCTCTGTCTATCGGAGTGGGGCAGCTGCCCCACTACAATGCCAAACAACAATTTCATAGACTCATAGACTTTAAGGTCAGAAGGGACCATTATGATCATCTAGTCTGACCTCCTGCACAACACAGGCCACAAAATCTCACCCACCCACTCCTGTAACAAACCCCTAACCTATGTCTGAGTTATTGAAGTCCTCAAATCGTGATTTAAAGACCTCAAGGTGCAGAGAATCCTCCAGGAGACAAGGAGTACAAATGATACCACATGGACTTTTTTCAGGTCTTTGGCTGGAGTTCAGATTGTGAAGGATGGGGAGATGCCTGTAATATTTTATGAATGATATTTCCATCTATTTGTGATTGTGTTGTTTGCTATATGATTGTCAAATTCAAGGGTTAATTCATGCAGGAGTTACTTACATATTCACAGGAAAGGGAAGACAATAACTTCAGATTGCCCCATTTACCAACACTTAAAAGGACAAAGCAGGTGTCATCCCCCTTGAAATATCTCTCTGACCATGCTGAGATCAATTGTATGGCTGGGGAGCTGGGAGCGGAAGGGTCTCAGCTTGTACCCAAGAGAGGTGATACTTTCAGGCAGGAAATTGGAACAAAGAATTTTGGGATTGAGAAATAGAGAGCTCTTGAAGCACAGAGGAGAGAGAGGGTCTGTGGAGAAGCAAATTAAACCCCAGTCCCCAGAGGTGGGGGGTGCTCAAGTGAAGGTAGACCAACCTAAGCTTTGGGTAAGACCAATATACACTTAGATAGTGTGTTACATTAAAACTTTTTCTCTTGCTATGCTCTGGTCCTACTATTATGATTAAATAATACTCTGCAGAAAAGGAGATGTGTTCAATAAGTATTTCTGTTCTATACTTGGGGCAAAAAGAGATGATGCTGTCTCACCATATGGTGATAACACTTTTGCCATTCCATTATATCTGGAGGATGTTAAACAGAAGCTTCTAAAGTCAGACATTTTAAAATCAGCAGGTCCAGAGAACTTGCATCCCAGAGTTTTAAAGGAGCTGGCTGAGGAGCTCTCTGCACTGTTACTGTGGATTTTCAATAAGTCTTGGAGCACTGGGGAAGTTCCAGAAGACTGGAAGAAAGCTAATGTTGTGCCAGTTTTTAAAAAGGATTAACAGGATGACTAGGGTAATTATAGGGCTGTCAGCCTGACTTTGATCCCAGGAAAGATAATAGAGTTGCTGATATGGGACTCAATTAATAATGAACTAAAGGAGGGTAATGTAACTAATGCAAATCAACATGGGTTTATGGAAAATGGATCCTGGAAGACTAACTTGATATCTTTTTTTGATGAGATTACAAGTTTGGTTGCTAAACGTAATAATGTTGATGTATTATACTTAGACTTTGGTAAGGTGTTTGATTTGGTGCCCTATGACATTTTGATTAAAAAACTAGAACACTATAAAATTAACATGGCACACATTACATGGATTAAAAACTAGCTAAATGAAAGGTCTCAAAATGTAACTGTAAACGGGGAATCATTATCATCAAGAGGGTCTGTTTCCAGTAGGGTCCTGCAGAGATTGGGTCTTGACCCCCACACTATTTAACCTTTTTATCAGTGACCTGGAAGAAAAAAATAAAATCATTGATAAAGTTTGCAGATGACACAAAAAATGGAGGAGTGGTAAATGATGAAGAGGACAAGCTCCTGATTCAGAGCAATCTGGATCACTTGAAAAACTAGGTACAAGCAAACAATATGTGTTTTAATATGGCTAGACATAAATGTATGCATCTAGGAACAAAGAATGTAGGACACACTTGCAGGGTGGAAGACTCTATCCTGGGAAGCAGTGCTTCTGAAAAGGGAGCTTCCAGTGTGATGCTGTGGCCAAAAGAGCTAATATGATCCTGGGATGCATATACAGGGAAACTTTGAGTAGGAATAGAGAGGTTATTTTACCTCTGTAATTGGCACTGGTGTGACTGCTGCCAAAATACTGTGTCCAGTTCTAGTGCCCATTCACAGAGGATATTGATCAATTGGAAAGCATTCAGAGAAGAGCCCAAAGAATGATTAAAGAATTAGAAAACATACATTATAGTGAGAGACTCAAGGAGCTCAATCTATTTATCTTAACAAAGAGAAGGCTAAGGGGTGACTTGATTAGTCTTTAAGTATCTATATTGGGAACAAACATTTAATATGGGCTCTTCAATCTAGCAAAGAAAGGTATAACATAATGTAATGGCTGGAAATTGAAGCTAGAAAAATGCAGACTGGAAATAAGATATACATTTTTAACAGTGAGCGTAATCAATCATTAGAACAATTTACCAAGGGTTGTGGTGGATTCTCCATCACTGACAATTTTAAAATCAAGATTGGATGTTTTTCTAAAAGATCTGTTCTAGGAATTATTTCGGGGAAGTTCTATGGCCTGTGTTATACTGGAGGTCCGACTAGATGACCACAATGGTTCCTTCTGCCCTTAGAATTCTATGACAAGGCTATTTGGGGTCACTGTATTAACTACTGGTCATGGGTCACAAAGGGAAGACTTGCAGATTGCAGAACCCAGTCAGGCCTGTTGAGCAATCACCACTGGTATCCAGGGGACTCTAGCTGAGATGCAGTCAGAGTGGAAGAATTGTGGGATTCCACCCCAGAACAGGTGCAGGCAAGAGGCCTACCACCAGCAGGGAGGAGGGTGCACCCAGCGAGACTGGAAGCAGGGTCAGAGGCGCAGCTACCCCTGAATCATGACCCACACGGTGTGACTCCATATCCTGGAGTTAGCCCCAGAATCTGTCTATGCAACAGCACAGAGAAAATGGGGCACATTACAAATTATTATATTTACGCTACTAAAACGCACCTCCGAGGTTAACTTTGTAGGAAGGATGGGTTGGGAGCGGACGGCAAAAGAGGGAGGAAGGCATTAAGGGCTATCACTGGCTTTCCAGCCAAAACTTCAGAGTGGTAGCCGTGTTAGTCTGTATCAGCAAAAAGAACGAGTACTTGTGGCACCTACTCTCTAAGGTGCCACAAGTACTTGTCATTCTTTCAGCCAAAACTTGTAATTCTAGTAAATAGCTTTTAAAAATCGGGGCCTTTATTAAGAAATTCCTCTTCCCACTCCTTTTTCTCTTCAAGATAGCCCATATTATTTATACGTATACACTGGTGCCCAAATCATTTATATAAAACAATCACTTATACAATAACAAAAATGCCAACTTCTCAGGGAAAAGGCCAATCCCAATCCCCACAAGAGACAGTCTTTACCATTACTTTTTCAATTATCTTACTTAAAGGATAGGTAAAGGACTAGGCCACAACTAGGAGGAAACTCTGCTTTTTTGAGCATAGTCTCACCTCCACCTGGCAAGGATAGATGGCACCCTTCTCAAAGGGTGATAATCTAGGTATAGAACTAATGCCTCCACGTTTGTCTTCAACAAATGTGTGAGACAAGGGTTCATCTTAAATGTAACGTACTTGGCTGCAAGCACCCCAGCATATCTAAAATCTAGTTGAGACCTAACTGGATGCAGCTCAACCAAAGGCAGTGGTGCATTTAAAATCTCCCTCCTCGTACTATTCCCTCGGTGCAGATCTGATCATTTTTTTCAGGTAAGTAGATAGATAACTCTTTGGACTGAGAAAATAATTTTAATACAGCTCTGGCAAGTCAGTTTTACCTAACTGATGTATGTAGCTATGTCGTCTTTCTGTGTATTGCACATTTAAATGTGTAAGGACTCTGCCTTTGTGCAGTAATTACTGCTACTGCGGCCTTTTCCAGCACAGGCAGCCTAGCCTCCCTCGGTTTAGTGCATAGTTACATCTGCCCAATTTACAATATTTAGCGCTTTTGTTCCATAATCTTAAAGCACTTTAGAAAGATAAGTACATACATTTAGTAATTGTACATGCAAATACAGATGAAAAATGAACAATTTGTTCTACTCTGACATGAACCTGCACCAACAATATGTAAAGAACTAATGCTTAACAAAAATAAGTTAAACAATTCATTCTCTTTAATGTGTATTTGCTATTCAGCTCTTCCCTAAAGTTTCAGATGCAAGAGGGATTGTTTAGAGTACAGGACAAGAATCATTTTTGTTCTGGACCTTAATAGTCTTCCTTGCATCTGACTACTCTGTTTAAGTCCCCTGTTCACAATGAATAGATCTCACTATCATAGTAGCCTAATGTGTGTTAATGCAAGTGACAACAAATTATGTTTATTTTGCAAACTGATATTCACAAACACCACAGAGGTGCATCAAAGTTACGAATGTTATGGCATTTGTGAATTGGTGCGATTGCTGGAATGGTTTAATAAACAAAATACATTCAGATGATTTGTGATTACCAGAAGAGTGTAACAATCCTATTAACCTGATAAAGGCAAGTTTGCAATACTTGGAAACATGCATCATGAAACTTCCACATATAAGTTAGTAAACAAGGATCCTAGTATTAGATTTTCATTCCTGCACTCAAATCAGAACTATATTTGTCCAACACATGTCACTATTTGTAATACTGAAATATCACACATTAAAAAAAGCTACTTGTTGGCAGAGGTTAAATTGACTTGTGTTTATGCAGTGTAATTTACAAATCAATACAGTAAAGCACACTTCACATTTAAGAGTAGTGATTTGTTTCTACTTCACAAGTGGCATTCACGAGTCGTTTATGTATCAAGTCTGCCACTGAAATTAAATGCTAATGTTAGATATATGTTTACTTTGCAGTGAAATTATACGAGAGACTTCAATAAAATGTAGATATTTTAATTTACATATCAAACTACAACACATTCACACAAAAAAGTGTGGCCCAACCAAGTTATAACAATTTGTAAAAATCTTCATGCTGTTTTTTAAATAGTTCTATACAGCCAAAGTTTACAAAGTCCTCGTGCATCCTTGTGTTTCTCCTCTTCAGTGTGCTACTGAGTTCAAAGGTTCTGCTCGAATATTCCCCAAGTCAAGTGCTGAATCTGTCTCTTCATCAATTTCACCAATGACAGCACTATAAGTAACAAAATAGATTAAATACCACTAGCAGAAATTGTCCCATTTTGAAACAAGATGAAAACCACAAATATAGTGACTTGCTATTCCAAAATGAGATTTGTGATTACAGAACTGCAAAATTTCAGTAATTTTTCCCCATAGATTTTGTTTGGAGCAAATAAAATAAAATAAAATTGAACAATAAGTATATTCTGCAAACATTTGGCAATCTAGAAGCAACAACTCTGGATGAAATCTGTCTATTCCTAGTCACTGGAGCAGGGATTTGAATTTGGGTCTCTCACATTCTAGGCAAGTGTCCTAACTGCAAGGCTATAGAGTTATTCTCATTTGCTTTCCCTGGGGCAATGACTTCATTATCACCATGATTGTCTATGAATAACAATGCATAGTCATTGGGCCGGGGAAAGAGTGAGAATGACTCTACAGCCTGGTAGTTGGGGCACTCACCTGGGATGTGACTCTACAGCCTGGTAGTTGAGGACCTCACCTGGGATGTGGGAGACCTAATTTCAAATCCCTGCTTCAATGACTAATTATTTACAAAAAGTGGAACAGCTTCAAGAGAGATTAAGAAAGCCCTATATCAGAATACTCCATAACCCAGTGGCTAGGGCACTCTGCTGCAATGGGAGCAGTGATTTGAACCTGGGTCTCACACATCCTAGGTGAGTAGCCTAACGGTTATAAGGAAGGCACCACCTCCTCCAGCCATTTTGTGAATTCTTTTCTTTGGTAAAAAGGCCAGAAAAATAAAAATAATTTGTTTTTTAACGGAAATCAAACATTTTGTTTGACATTACCAAAAGTGTTTCAAATTTTTCAGTTTGGTTGAAACTACACCTCTACCCAGATATAACATGAATTCTGATATAACGCGGTAAAGCAGTCCTCGGGGGGGGGGGGGGGG